CTGGGTGGGTGACCGGCGCCCCGCCGCCCCCGGGAGCAGACTCCGTGGACACGGTACGTGGAGCGAGATCAGAGGTCGCCGGTGGCTGGGAAAGATGAAGCCCTGCCACCCGTGGGAGTGTGGGTGGCTGCAAGAAATTCGAGCTGAGGAGTTTACGAGGAAATAAACGCAGCAGTTGCACGAGTTGAATTGCGGCAAAAGGGGGGGGTTTGCCACTTGGTGAGAATCGTGCCAGCTGGCGTCCTTGGGTTTTTACTGCTAGCTCTGCTGGAGGTGCATATATTTTGAAGGCTGTGCTTGATTCTGCCACGTTTTGAGGGCATTCTTCTAGCACTACTAGTAGTACGATTAGGCGTTGCTGATGACTTTGTTTCGCGGAGAATTTTCAGGCAGCAGTTTTTGGGAGAGGAGGAAGGGTGGAGCTCTGAGCGCTTCTGCGCCTTACCATTCTTGCTAAACCTCGTAGTCTTGTAACTGCATTTATGCAACGCAGGTTCATCCCAGACTCATGGTGCAGAAACCTCTCATCGCTTCTGTTTTACTGGTAATTTGTCTCATTGTAAAAGCACCAAAGTAGTGGTTCCAAATGAAAAAGTAGTGATCCCTAGGAACAGTTGGAGAAACATATGGTTTGTTTTGTTGTGTTCTGTAGCTGCACAGTAATTTCGAAAGCATGCTTTTTACTTAAAAAAGAAATTCAGTTCTTACTAAAATGACTTTTTAGGGTGTCTTGAGAGCGTAGTGAAATTCATCTAGAAACTTACACCGTTGGTGCATGCTGCCATTTGCTGAAATTTCTAATCCAGGGGAATTAAGTTTTGCGATGAGAGGTTCCTTTGTACTGTATCACTACATGAAAAGTCACTTGCCACTATGGAAACTTACAGCTAAAGGCAGTTTCTCCTTTTAAAAATTTGCCTAATTATTATTACCCAGCAGAATAGCCAGAATGTTTTGTAATTGCCCATCGCCACCCCATCATCTGAAACATGCCTGAAAAAAAATGAAAGTTTGACTTCATTTGAAAAGAGTTGCATCATGACGTCTGAAACTTTTTTCAATAACCTGAAGGAAGGAACATTGCAATTTTTCCATTTCAGATCGCCTTTGTTTTGCCATTCTCTACAGCAGACCAAAGACTGCATCCAATGTACATTATTTCAGCATAGATAATGAACTTGAATATGAGAAGTAAGTATTGCTTTTTAAAAGATTGTTAGTAACTATTTTTCTTTTATTTTGAAGAATCTACAGGTACATTTATAGATAGGTACCCTTGAGAAATTATAAATCAACTGATTGCTAATTGCAAGATTTTTTTTAATCCATGATAATAAAATAGATCTTAGGGAAAAAAATAAATGAAAGAACCGTCCTAAATTTAAACATTTAGATTCTCTCTTCTGGTAGTTTACGCTGCAATGAGGTATAAACACGTACTATGTGTGGGAAAACAACTTTTTACATTTAAAAGATATTTTCATGTTAATTGAAGTTAGACTAAGACTAGATTTAGACATTGCAGCACTTTTTGCATTTTTTTAATAGGCATTGTATTTACCAGAGTATTTCTTTACTAGTAAGGCTGTGCCTTTAGATTGTATGGCCTGTAACAATTTGATGTGTACTCTCTCATCGTAATTTGATCTTGTAGACCCAAAAAAGGCATATTCAGAACATATAGACCATACATGCATGTTTTTATTTTTTATTTTTAAAGCTTCTACGCAGATTTTGGACCACTCAATCTGGCAATGGTTTACAGATATTGTCGCAAGATAAATAAGAAATTGAAGGTAAAGTCTTTTTTTTTAACATAAGATTTGACTTGAGTAACGAATGCTAGCTTGATCTCTGGGGAAAAGTATGGAAAACATTTCACAGTTTTTTGCTGCAGTGGTGTTTGAATCATACACATGGTTTTTTGTTTTATAAAGTCATAGTGTATATATTTGCTTTCTAGAATTTTGAATGAGCAGTGAGGTTTGGGTCACGTGGTTCTGACTTGGATTGGTGATGTTCAAATACTTAAAAAGCCAAAGTGGGAATTGGTTAATTAAGAGAATCTCTTACTGCCTGACCTGATGGAACTGAAACCTAGCAAGGAAAACTCTTGCCTTGCTTTTTTCTTTGTTCTTTCTGACATCTTTTTTTTTCTTAATTAAAAAAAATTTTTTTAGAGACAGGGTCTCACTCTGTCACCCAGACTGTACATAGCTCACTGTAGCCTCAAACTCCTGCACTCTAGAGGTCCTCCCACCTCAGATTTCTGAGTACCTGGGACTACAGGTGCACCCCACTATAATACTTTTTAAAAAAATCTTTCTTGGAGAGACAGGTCTCACTACGTTACCCGGGCTGATCTCATACTCCTGACCTCAAGCAGTCCTCCCATCTTGGTCTCCAGAATTGTTGGAATTATACACCTGAGCCCAGCCCCTGCCTTCATTTGGATGGGGAGTGTTAGCAAACTGACAAGAAAAAGGGACTCACCTGACTTCGTCTCTTGTTTTGAAACTCCCATGATATTGTACTAGTTGTGACTTCATTTTGACCTTTTTTACGATGTATATGATTAAGGGGCAACAGACAGCAGATCCTTAAGGCTGGATCACTAGAGTTACAAAAGTATATTTGTGTTGGTATGAATTTAGGTCCCATTCATTTATTTAAAACACTTTTACTTATGGGTCCTCCACAGTAAGAAGTGTTTATGTATTGCTTGCTACCAGTTCCAAATTAGTCACTGTAAATTCTCAGGTGGACAGTACTACCTTTGGGAAAGGCATTTTTTTTTTTTTTTTAAGTTGGAATCTCACTCCGTCACCCAAGCTGGAGTGCAGCAGCAGGCTCATGGCCACCCCAGCGTCGACTTGCTGGGCTTGGCGATCTTCCACCTCAGCCTTCCAAGTAGCCGGAACTACAGGTGCGCACTACCACGCCCAGGCTAGTTTTTTTATTTATTGTAAAGATGAGGTCCCACCAAGTTGCCCGACTGATCTCGAACCCGCAGGCTCAGGCAGTTCACTCGCCTCTGCCTCCCAAAGTGTAGGGAGTACAGGCTGAGCCACACCAAGCCAGGTAGGAAAGGTACTTTTTAAAAAATAATTTAGCCGGGCTCGGTGGCTCAGCCTGTAATCCCACGCCTTTGGGAGGCTGAGGTGAGTGGATTGCCTGAGCCCGCAGGTTCGAGACCCGCCTGGGCAGGCGAGACCTCATCTCTACAATAAATCAAAAAAATTAGCCGGGCGTGGTAGCGTGCCTGTAATTCCGGCTACTCGGAAGACTGAGGCAGGAGGATCACTGGAGCCCAGAAGGTCGAGGCTGCAGTGGCCGGGAGCGGCCACTGCACTCCAGTCTGAGCAACAGAGTGAGACTCCAACTCAAAAAAAACCAAATAACTTTATTCAATCAATTACCTATCAGACAGCTACACAGAAGAAATACAATTTATTTTAATTAATATTTTAACTTAAAAATTTATGGATGAGTAAGGCAAATTTTTTTCTGTATCAAACCATAAAACTACAAATTGATACAGAGGTGGAGACTTTCTTTTTTCTGGCCTTAAGTATAAACATTGATAGCCTTGTGTATTTGGGTTTCCTCTCTCTTTCTGTTTACTAGTGGTGGACCGTTTGTTTCATATAGAGCCGGGAATCTAAAAATAATTCCTTCTTCCTCCTTCTTTTGTTCCTTTGCTTTAATTTTTGGGGAAAAAAAGATTCTTTTTTTCTTTGGTCAGCCTTCTGTTGAGCTTTATTCTTTAGATAAACCAAAAATGTCTGTCTTTTTTTTCTGTTTTTGAGTTGAAGTCTCACTCTGTAGCCCAGGCTGGAGTGCAGTGGCATGCTCATGGCCACCGCAGCCTTGACCTGCTGGGCTCAAACGATTCTTCCATCTCAGCCTTCCAAGTACCTGGAACTACAGGCATGCACTACCACACCTGGCTTTTTTTTTTTTTTTAATTATTGTTGAGACAAAGTCTCGCCAAGTTGCCCAGGCTGGTCTTGAATCCCTGGACAAATGCAATCCTCGGCCTTCCAAAGTGCTGGGATTACAGGCTTGAACCACCGCCCCTAGTCTGTCTTTTTTTTTTAATCATTTACTAGAACAACTTATAGCATGTTGGCCATCCAACCTGATTGAAACATTACTACCTATTCAGTTAATAGGGATAAAAATATATCTAAAGTTTGATTGAAGAGTGCCTTGTGCTTGTGCTGCCAGATGGCTGGTGGGTTTTGTTTTTGTTTTTGTTTTTTTAAATCAACTTGGATCTGACTCCATGTAAACAGCTAAAGGAAAATATGTACACCTTCGTCACTGAAATGCTAGAACATTGTAACACTGAAATGCTGACTTGCAGACGCCAAGAAATCCATGCCTAATGAGTGGAATGCATGCTGTTCCTTTTCCTGACTTGAATCTACTCACGTTAGAGAAGTACAGCTGGGGAAGTGCTAACCAATCATGTGTTCCTTTTATTTTTATGTTCTGCATTATTTTACTTTTAACTTTTTATTGAAGTACATATACACAGAAATATGTATGCATCATGAGTGTAGAGCTTGGTGAATTTTCAGAAGTTGAATATACTTGGGTGCTTATCTTGATCAGCAGGACAGGACATAAGCTACCCCCAGAAGAAGAGAGCCCACCCACATTGTCTTCCAGTTTCTGTCTCTGGATCTGCTTCCTCCAGTTATTCACTATCCTGACTTATGACAGCATGGACTATTTTTGCCCTGTTCCGTATACCGTTTTATTTTATATTTTATCTCATTTTTATTTTTAGTCAGGGTCTCACTCTGTTGCATGGGCTGGACTGCAGTGGTATGACCATGGCTCACTGTAGCCTTGATCTCAGCCTGCCTTCACCTCTCGAGTAGCTGGGCCTACAGGTGCATGCAACCATCCCTCCCGGCTAATTTAAAAAAAAATTTTTTTGGCCAGGCTTGGTGGCTCAGTCTGTAATCCCAGCACTTTGGGAGGCCGAGGTGAGTGGATTGCCTGAGCCCACGGGTTCGAGACCAGCCCGGGCAACTAGGTGAGACCCTGTCTCTCCAATAAATCAAAAATTTGCCAGACGTGGTAGCACATGCCTCTAGTTCCGGCTACTTGGAAGACTGAGGTGGGAGGACCGCTAGAGCCTATCATGTCGATGCTGGGGTGGCTGTGAGTGTGCCACGGCACTCCAGCCTGGGTGACAGAGACTCCAACTCAAAAAAACAAAAACAGATATTTGTGGAGACGAGGTCTTGCTGTGGTTGTCTATTGCCTATGCTGGTCTCAGACTCTTAGGCTCAAGTAGTCCTTCCACCTTGGCCTCCTAAAGTGCTGGTATTGCAGGCATGAGCCACTGCACCTAGCCCTTTTTATTTTAGTTATTTTAGCTTACAAGTTTTGGAGACAAGAGTTCTTCAAAAATCAAACCGTGGAAGAGGGAAAGGAAAGGTCTCTCCCACCACCCTTTCCAGCTGCTTATGTGTTCTTTCAGAGGTAGCCTGTGCTTTATGCAAATGTCTGGTCTTCGCTCTTCTCCTCCTTAACTGCATGTTCATTCTCATCCCAAAATATGTCTTTTTATGGGAAGGTACATGGTCTTTTGGGGTATCAACATTGATCTTTTCAAAGGTCAATCCTTAATTAATGTGAGATTTTTGTTAATGTGAAATATGTTGTGAAATTTGGGATTTAGCTTCATCACAAAATAACACTTCAGGAAACTTAAAAGGAAAACACTAACACCTGTTTATTTTTATGCAGTCCATTACAATGTTAAGAAAGAAGATTATTCATTTTACTGGCTCTGATCAGAGAAAACAAGCAAATGCTGCTTTCCTTGTTGGATGCTATATGGTGAGTGTTTACTTCCTGATGTGCTAGTGAGGACGTGCACAGCAGCGGCGCTTTACATTTGCGCTTGGACAACGTCTTGATTTCTTTCCAGAGGAAACCCCGTTTTACTCATGAAAAAATGAGCAACTCAGGGAGGCTGTGCTTATGTGGGGGTGTGTGGGACATCTCCCTACCTTCCACTTTCTCTGTGAACCTGAGACTGCTATTAAAAAACAAAAAGAGTCCTGGCCGGGCTCGGTGGTTCAGCCTGTAATCCCACGCCTTGGGAGGCCGAGGTGAGTGAATTGCCTGAGCCTGTGGGTTCAAGACCTGCCTGGGCAACTTGGCGAGACCTCATCTCTACAATAAATCAAAAAATTAGCTGGACGTGGTAGCGCACGCCTATAGTTCTGGCTCCTTGAAAGGCTCAAGCGGAAGGATCGCTGGAGCCCTGCAGGTCGAGGCTGCGGTGGCCGGGAGCGGCCACTTCACTCCAATCTGGGCGACTGAGTGAGACTCCAACTCAAAAAAAAAAAAATCTTTTTAAAAAGATATGCCCAGCCGGGCTCGGTGGTTCAGCCTGTAATCCTGCGCCTTGGGAGGCTGAGGTGAGTGGATTGCCTGAACCCGCGGGTTTGAGACCCGCCTGGGTAACTTGGTGAGACCTCATCTCTACAATAAATCAAAAAATAGCTGGGCGTGGTAGTGCATGCCTGTAATTCCGGCAGAAGGATTGCCGGAGCCCAGCAGGTCGAGGCTGCGGTGGCCGAGAGCGGCCACTGCGCTCCAATCTGGGCGACAGTGAGACTCCCAACTCAAAAAAAAAAAGATATGCCCAATTCAATGACTGTGGACAAAGTTTTTGTGGTGTGGTTCTTCCCACTAGAAAACAATGTCCCAAAGCTATTTTTATTACCTCATGATTCATTTAGTGAGTTGTAAAATAATTTTATTGAAATTAAGGCCAGCACTGACTTGGAAAAAAGATCAAAATGCATCACGAATGCTTTCTAAAGTCTGATTGTAGGCAGGCTTTTTCCTAATTAAGGTTATCTCCATTCTCCTCAAAACATCTAGTAGGAGGACACGGCATTTCCGTGTTGGAGGCAGATGTGTAACTTGCCACGTGGATTACGTGTGCCATCAAATGCTCCGTCAGATCATCGGAGGTATGCCTCTTGGAGGTATGCCTCGGCATACCAGTTTTTAGGCAATAATTATGAATTTCATTTATTTGTAAATATAACAGAAGAACTTTGCCCTTTTTTCAAGTCAGAGTCTCACTCTGTCTCCCAGGCTAGAGGCAGTAGCACAGTCGTGACTCACTATGGCCTCAACCTCCTGGGCTCAGGTGATCCTTTCACCTCAGCTCTCGAGTAGCTGGGACTACAGGCATGAGCCACCGTGCCTGGGCTTTTTTTTTTTTTTTTGAGTTGGAGTCTCACTCTGTCACCCAGACTGGAATGCAGTGGCCGCTCCCGGCCACCGCAGCCTCGGCCTGCTGGGCTCCGGCGATCCTTCCGCCTCAGCCTTCTGAGTAGCCAGAGTTACAGGCATATGCCACCACGCCTGGCTGATTTTTTTATTTATTGTAGAGATGAGGTCTCGCTGCCCAGACGGGCTCGAACCCGCGGGCTCAGGCAATTCACTCACCTCAGCCTCCCAAAGGCGCGGGATTACACGCTGAGCCACTGAGCCCGGCCCATGCCTGGGCTTTTGAGAACACTTTTAAGTTTTGTTATCATCCCTGAAAGGATGAAACACAGGTTGTAGATTGTCTGTTAAAATTTGTTTTTTTAAGCTTGTCCAAATTTGGACCACCCACCCCAATCTCTTGAGTTTTCTTGTGCTTGCAGCAAAATCCATTAAAACAAAAAAGAAAAGTCTGTGCAGGGCCCCAAGAAAGAAAAAGAGTGTTTGGAGAGATGGGTGTTTTACCTGGGACATCCGATCCTATTACTTGGCCAGTCCAGGGGAGATGACACCTGTGGATTAAAGTAGACTAGAGGACAGCTGTGTAGAAAAAGAGAGGCAATCAGGATTCTTGGGGTTCATAAAGTGTTTTTGTTTTGTTTTTTGTGTTTTTTTTTTTTTTTTA